GGCATTAAAATGGCCAGTCGTTAGGACAGAAACAGAGTGCGAGTAACAGTGACCAGGAACTAAACATCACAGGAAGTGAGGGGGCGTGAGCTCAGGGCTGGCGGTGAACACCAGCGATGGAGAGGAAAGGCTGAATAGCCTGGTGACATGAGACCCCAGAGTGGTGTTTCAGGGAAGAGGTATTCTAGAATGACCTGGAAGTGGCCAACAAGAGCAAGGTAGATACTTAGCACATCTCTTTGAGAAGCCTGCAGGGCAAGCAGTGTCCTCGGGGGAGAGAGGGTTCCCATTGGGAAAGACACAGAGGGAATTCAAGGCGACGGTGCGAACACCGTGTTCAGGATAGAAACGCCAATTTCTTTGTCACCAACCCGAAGAACTGCTGGCGCCACACTTTCTCATTTCTGAAGATGGTTTATTTCAGCTAGACTCCAGTCCTGAGGGATAGTGGGAGTCAGGCTGATGCCTTCAATGGCACGACTTGTAAACAGAACTTGCAGCCCAGATGGAGTGATCCACTGGGACGTGTGTGTGTGTGTGTGTGTGTGTGTGTGTGTGTGTGTTGAACACATGCTAAATACCGGGGATTCAGCAATAAATTGGAGACTGCCTTAGAGGACCTTACAGTTGAGGGAAACAGCTAAGCCAACAGAAATGATAATGCAGTGTGATATATGTTAATAATTATTGAATAGTTGCTATGCATCAGGTGCTGTGTGAAGATCTTTTATATGAGCTCATTTAATCTTCTCAGACGTCATATTAATCATCTCATAACAATGTTGTGTTACAAACCGTTTCAAGCGTCGGTGGCTTGACAACAAGTGCTCACTTTTCTTGCATGTCTTCTGTTCCAGGCTGTCAGGCAGTGGGGCTTGGCTCCAGGCTTTTGATTGGGTTCAGGTCAGCTCATGTGTCTTCACGTTCCCCGTGTTACAGCAGCTCCTCTGTGACATGTTCTCATGATAGCGTATAGGAGTGAGCCTGGCAAGTCTCTGCACACTTAAAGCCTTCACTCATGTCAGCTCCATTGGCTAAAGAGGGAGGCATGGCCAAGCCCAGCCTCAGTGGGCAGGGAAATACACTCTTCCTCCTCTCCTGGGAGGTACTGTAGAGTCACATGGCAAAGGGTAAGGATGCAAGGAGAGAGTGAACGGGTGAGAACACTGATTCAATAAACCATAGGCATTTCTTATGTCACCCCCAACTTAAAGGTGAGGAAATGTAAGGAACAGAAGCTACTTGCCTAGGGTCAGAGAGCTAAGAACTTTGCCCACCAGAGCCCAAGCCCTTGGCCACTGCACCCTTTTGCTCAAGGTGCTTTGGGAACACATGGGAGAGGTGGCTCACTGGCCTAGGGGGTTGGGAAGAGTTCAGGGGAGGCCCTTGGGGAAGGGAGGACCTGGGCTGACCTCAGCAGTATTGGCCAGACTGAGTTTCTGTTTGGTTTAGCAGCAAAGAGGCTGCTGGTGCTGGTGGGAGTAGTTCCACTGGAGAGGTGAGTGCAGAAGGCACGTGGTGGTTGGTTAATGGGTGCATGGCAGGTGAAAGAAGAGAAGCAACTTCTAGAAGCTTGCCTGAAATGGTTGGGAAAAGATAGGACAATGGGATTGGAATATGACAGAGAATAGCATTTTTTTTCCTTCAAAGACCTGAGTGCCGCATGCTGACATGAAAGGTAGTAGAACGGCCCTGTTGTTGGATTTAGATGTGGCCTCTAAGGATCCATCACATCCTTGCCCTTTGGTACTGGATTGTGGGGAGTGATGAAGAAGGAAGAGTCGGATATGACTCTGAAAGAGGAAGAGGGGGATCATTTCAATGACGGCGTGTACTGTAGCATGTGGTCTAGCTTAGTGTCTGCCATACAGTTACAGGACTGAATTGATACCTTTCTTTAATTGGTGTTTAGGGTATGAGGTACCGCATTTATTACAAGCAGGTTTGAAAAGGATTTCTTGGAGTACCCATGGATTTAAATGAAATGGTGGTGAACCTTGCTCCTCCCTAGAACACCCAGAAGGGTCTATTGAAGCCTCAGTCATGGGGATTGGTGTGTTAGGAAATCATAACTTTTCGAGGTGGTTGACACAAGCTTGTACGAGCAGCTTTCATATGCTAGAGTTTTCCTTTTTAGTTTTTTGCTATCTTACCCTTTAAAACAATGCCTATGATTACAGTTGCCATGAAAGTAAGTCAGTAAAGAAATTCATTTTGCCTTTTAGTATTTGAGAAAAATAGTTCAGTTGGTTAGATCAGGCCTCCCTCCCAATATCATGGCTTTAATTGGTTTCTTTGGCATTTAGAGCTCAAATTAATTGAAAATGTGTAACCACTCGAAAGCTTGAACATTGTAGGTGCTTCCTTCTGATTGTCTTATTTTCCTGTAAGGTGTGCTTCTTCATTTTTGTCTTCTTGGATTCCTTTGTGCTCCGCTCCCACTTTTTTGAATAGGATGGAATGAGCTTCTTTTCACGTCTGCCACCAATGGAGTGCGCCCTGATTGCGACAGAGACCCTTAGTGTGGCCACCACCAGAAATCCACACACCTGGATGATTTTACACTTTGAAGTGGGGCTTCTTTTTTTTTAAAGATTTTATTGGAGAATTGGGGGAGGAGAACAGCATTGGGGAATCGGGGAAAGGGAACAGACAAGCTGCTGTCCTTTTGTTCTTCAGTCTAGTTGTGGAAGACGTCGCTTCACTGGCCCATGTTGGTATTGTGATCACTGCACTCTTCCTGGGTGAGGCAGATCAGTTGCTGGCCATTGGATGGCCACTCACGGCGGCTCATGGCAGCTCACACTGGCTGCCGGCCACTCACAGCAGCCCAGCTTCAGGTTGAGCTGTTGTTCACCATCTTAGCTGTAGAGGGTGCAGAGTCACTGGCCCTCATGTGGGATCTGAAACCGGGGCCCTGCTGCTCAGAGCTGGCATCCCAAGCCACTCTTAACCAACGCGCCATTCGGCCGGCCCTGAAGTGGGGCTTCTTGTGTGAGGCTGCAGATAAGAAATGCACATTCCTGGGCTTCCACACAGACCTCAGGGGTCAGAAACTTTGGTGAGGGGTGGTGTTTCTTTGTCTGTTTTTAATGGGTCCTCTAGACGATGGAAGCACGCTCAAATTTGAGGCCCACTGGGTGTAACCCAACCCCATCAGGATGCTGAGATTTGGGATGGTCTGCTGATGAGCTGCTAACAAGGAGTGAAATCATGAGGAGTGGGTGCTGTGACCTGGAGTGAAGTCACTTACCCCACTCTGGGCCTTAGTATCTTCACCTTTGACACTAGGCAGTCAGACTAGCCGCAGTTCCAATGTAGAGACCCACAAGGTAGTAAGAAACAGTTGTCAGGGGCCGGCTGAGTGGCTCAGCTGGTTAAGAGTTGGCTTAAGAGCACGAGCTCTGAGCAACAGGGCTGCCGGTTCGATTCCCACATGGGCCAGTGACACTACGTCCAAGCTGAGCTGCTGCTGAGCTGCCAGCAGATGGCAGGATGGCTCAACTGGTGAGAGCACGTGCTCCTAATAAGATTGCCTGTTCAGTCATGGGCTATGCCCGCCTGCAACTAAGACGGAACTCACACCCTGAGCTGAGCTGCCACCTGGATGGCTCAGTGGGTAGAGCATGCGCTCTTAACAACAAGGCTGCCAGTTCGACTTCGCATGGGATGGTGGCTACGCCCACCCACAACTAAGATTGTAACACAGCACCTTGAGCTTAGAGGCCACAAGCTGCTGATGGGCAGCCAGATGGCGACTGGAGCCCTCCACAACGAAGATTGAAGAACAACAACTTGGCTGGTCCCCCTCCCTAATTCCCCAACACTGTTCCCCTCTCCCAATTCCCCAATGAAAACAAAAAAGAAAAGAAAAACAGTTGTCAGCTATTTCTAATATTTCAGAAAGCCCCTCATAGAGATTGCAGGTTTCCCCCAGTAGATCGCAAGGACTGGCCAAAATGCCCTGTTTTCTAGTTCTGGGCCAAAATAAGCAACTAGACTGTGAGCTGCTCGTGGGCAGTCATTGTCATGTTTCCAGGGCTACATCAACAGGGTCTCGCCCAGTGGAAACCCTTCAAGTAATGTTTTCCAAACTAAGTTATATAAAAACCAAGGTGAAAATACGGCTTATTTTGTGCCAGAAGCTCTGATTGACTTTGCCGTGGAAGATCATGGAGCTTGTGGTTTTCAGCACGTGTATCTATTGTTGCAGCGGTGTTAATTCCCACAAACAAAGGATATTCACGGTAGAGACCAGGCGGCCTCAGCCCTGGGCTTGGCTTGTGTAGCTCCCCTGGACAGTAGCCCAGTTTACTTATTCACTGATCGTGTGCCTTCCATTATTTATGATTTTCGGCTAAAGCTGCACGTGCTTCCTTTGGTCCTGGAGGACCCATCTGGGTCATGGTCGGGACCCTGCTGTGTCCATGTGTGCAGGATGTCTGCTGGCAGGGCCTAATTCAGCAGGATGACGGGGGACTCACATTTTCACAGGCCGGGGAAGGTGGCCTGGGCCACAGGAGAGCGTGAGGTGGGGCCAGGAGCTTCCCACGTGCTTTGCAAGGCGGGGGCTGTCTTCCTCCTCAGGAGGGTCAGTCTGACCCTGTGGTGTCTCCCTCAGTCCTGAATGCTTTCAAGGGGGACAGATTGAGGACCTCACCTGCTGTGCTGGCCTGACAGAGCAGGAGAGAAAAGCAAGATGCCGCCTGCCGTTCCAGAAGGGAAGCGAATCAGCGGGGACCCTGGTTTCCTTCAAACACTACTTATTGTCTCTTGGCTTATTATTATTTTTTTAATTTAATTTTATCATTTATTTATGAGAATTTTTTTTTTAATAAGAGTTTATTTGAGCCCAACAGACAGCATATGCTGGGGAGCCAGATCTCAAATGCTCTGGTGCCTCTTTGCTTCTGAGATTGTGAATCCAATGGCCATTTTAAAATCTGCACTTGGGGGCTGGACAAGTGAAGGGGTGAGAGAAGAGACCAAACCTTTGTTAGTTCACAGAACTCCAATTCTTTATTAATCACAGCTTGCTCACAATGACATACAGGAAATTAGCACTAATGAAGAGTAAATATGCAGGCAGCAACCGTCAGGAGTTGGGAGTTGGGGGAGAAAGACTTCAAAACTGCGATTGGTACTTACGGTGGGTATCTGGTGATTCTCTTCGTTGGTACAAATGCCCTGCCTACCCCCCTTAACTGCGTCAGCCCTCATAGATGGAGCGATTTTTTTTTTTTCAAGGCAAGATTGCCTCACACTGGGGAAGAAAGACCAGCTTGAGTGGAAGTCCGCAGTGTTTTTGATTGTGTGTGTGTGTGTGTGTGTGTGTGTGTGTGTGTGTGTGTGTATGTGTTTATGCAACAACCAGCTCACAGTTTCCAAGTGAAAAAGTATTCAGTAGCATCATGTACTTGTACTATAGGTAAGAGCTTAAAATGAACATCATCAATCGGCATCCACAAATAAGCCACCTGACACATTAATTCATTCCATCAAAAGAACTGAAACGAGAGAAGTAAGCCCACTTCATGAAGAGCGACTTCACGGCTGCTTCAACTGTTTAAAAGGTAGCACTTTAAAAAGGTTTGTTTTTTTTTTCTTTTTTTCTTTTTTTTGCTTCTACCCAGATTGATCTCAGGTCTGCCCTGTCATCCATCCCTTTCTAAAGCCAAAGCACATTTGTGGCACATAATCCATTGTAAGCAGAAGTCAATACTATGATGGGTGGATTTTCTTAGCCTGGTTTTGTCGTTTCTAGGTAGTAAGTAGATTATGAGCGAACAAATGTGAAGGTTGGTGTGGAGTCCTAACACCTGTGATCTAGGGATGGACTTAGTCAAGTTCAAAGATGACAGCTGTCTAGGTCATTAGGCAATGGTGGATTTCTAGCACCATAGACTGTCTACTGACCTCGTTTTTCTGTTGGAATGAAAACGGCAGGGAAGGTCGTCAGACAATGGGGAGCTTCGTAAAGAACAGACCTAGCAAATTCATTTGAGTGGAAAGACACAACATCAAAAGCCTGTTACAGGACATGTAAGATTATGAAATAACTTGCATAATGCAATACTTGTATTTTTTAACAAAAATGTAAGTATTTACAAAATAAGATCCAAGGTATTTGTTAAACATCAAGCAAAACATTCTGCAAAGAGACCGCATTGATTTTTTTTTTATTTTTGTTTCTGTTTTTTGTTTTTTTTATAGTGAGTTCTTTTTAAACCATGTCATACATTTCCCATACTGATATCGCGTGATCCATGATAATATAGGCAGGGGGATTTACTCGTGGTGGGACGTGCCATACCCTCCATCGCTTCAGCCAGACAGCTCCACCTGGAGTTCCTTGTTCCTGCGTACCTCCGCGGCATGCCTCTCCTGGAAAACATGGGGACAAAGGGTGTCAGAGCCTTGCTGAGGGGCCCTCAGGGAACCGGGAGGGCCTGTCCCCTTCTTTGCATACTATGTGCTTGATTGGAAGTAACCCAGTTTCATATCTATCTTCAGGAGATTTTCTCATTCCCCAAGAAAGGAAAACATGGGACCCAATATGCGTCATGTTACAGCAGATCTTACAAGACTTACTGATCTTTAAAAAGCAAACAAACACTGTATTTGATTGAAACTATGACCAAAAGGTCATGAGGAAGAGAATTTTGAATTATTATGACCACTGTGTAAATCCAGAGGATAGCAATAAAACGTCATCTTGTTTTCCCTCTCATTTTTAATGGTGCTTTTTCTTTCCCCTAATATTTTAAGGCTTTTATAACTGCCAGTGGACACTCTGGGGGTGTTAGAGGCAGGATGAAGACTTTTTGTATGCTTCCTAGACTCTTTTTTTAATTAAAAAATTTTTTTAAAAAATTATCTTTATATATTTTACTTAAAAATTACTTTTTTATTTTATTTTTTCAGTTACAGTTGATATTCAATGTTATGTTAGATTCAAGTATACAGCAGAGTGGTTAGACATTTATATAACTTTCCAAATGATCCCCCTGATAAGTCTAGTACCCACTGTATGCTTCCCAAACTCTTCCCGTGTTAGTCAAAGCCTTTCAAAACTTGAGTCCACATGACCTTCCCAGTCTTACCACCACCCTTCTCCTACACACATTTGATGTTTCGGTTTAATGGAATGGTCTTTTCATGCAATTTTCAATGCTTGAGAGTCCTAGTCTTCTGTCTCCATGGTCAGGATTGCAAGCTCACTCTTTAGGCCCTGGTGACAGTGGTCCCTTTCTCCATGACGATTTTTATAATACTATAAGCTAAAAGTCATCTCACTGTCCGTTTGCTCACCTGCACAAATCTTCCCTTTTGTGTGGCAGTGATTTTGTTCTAACTTGTGCTGCGGGCATTTCTGTTCTGTCTCACCTGCTCTGTTAGCAGATGCTTGTACCTGAGCTCATTGCGGCCAGGACTGTGTTTTCTCACTGTCATCC